ATTTTAAATGAAATTAAAAAATTTAAACAAGCAGACAAACAGAAACCACTGAGCATTTTTTGTGGTACTCCTTCCTCTACTTTCTGTGCACAACCTGGTATTGACAACATACAAAGAATTTCCTCAGAGTATTCTAAAATTATCACATATATACACATATATTCTATTAAAAATTTATTCTGTTCATTGGGATCTAAGATTTTGATTCTCAACTATAATCATTCTTCAAGTTTGTTTTTTTAAAAGTATTTATTTTTAGTTTATGTGTATGCACACATTGCCTGCATGTAGGTAAGTGGACCCGTGTTGTGCAATGCCCGTGGAAGACAGAAGACGCTGTCAGATCCCCTGGAACTAGAGTTACAGACAGTTGTTAGCTGCCATGTGGGTGCTGGGATTCGAACCTGGGTCTTCTGCATGAATAGCCAGTGTTCTTAACCCCTGAGCCATCTCTCCAGCCCCCCATTCTTCCAGTTTTTAAAGTGTAGTTGCACTAAATACACTTTTCAAGATTCACTTTGAAATTTACAAAGCACAAGAGTGAATTTCTTAGGCTTAAAACATTTAACAATCTGAATCTACTGAAATTAATCTAAATTATTACTTTACAAAATAAGGAACAGAAAAAAAAATCAAGATAACTACTAATCCCTCCTCTTTCACAATCTATTTCAACCAACTTAATACAACTTCTTACCATCCTGGGATCATCTATAAGTAAGTAGCCAGGGGACCTAACTGTATAGGGAACCTAACTGTTTTAATGATACCTTAATTAAAAAATAAAATAAAAATTGTTATGCCAGCCAGGTCTGGTGGCGCATGCCTTCAATCCCAGCACTCAGGAGGCAGAGGCAGGTGAATCTCTGCGAGTTCAAGGCCAGCCTGGTCTACACAGTGAGTTCCAGGCCAGCTGGGACTACAGGGAGACCCTGTCTCAAAAAGATTAAAAAAAAAATTATGCCAATCTTATTCATTCTATAAAGAGAAAGCCATCAGTAAACAGGACACACAACAATCTATTAATACAATTTCTCTTACCCAATAAAGTCATAATATACCTAACAATTTTTTTTTTTTTTTGTCTTTTTGAGACAGGGTCTTCCTATAGCCCCAGCTGTCCTAGAACTCAACAGAGATCTGCCTGCCTCTGCCTTCTGAGTGCTGGGATTGAAGGCATGCGCCAAGACGCCAAGAAACTGACTTTGAGCCAGGCATGGTGCACATGCCTTTAATCCCAGCACCTGGAAGGCAGAGGCCAATGAATCTCTGTGAGTTCAAGGTCAGCCTGGTCTACATAGCCAGTTCCAGGACAGCTGAAGCTACAAAATTCAAAAACAAAATTCATCAATTGTGACCCATAAAATTTAACTTTAAAATCACTAACTCAATCTATCTTTGTACCACCACCATATTATCTATTCCAAATGATCACTGGACCAAAATAAGCTAATTTTTTGCCATAACGCCAGTGTAAAGCATCATTCCATGTTGACTGCAGATGTTTAAAAACAAAACAAAACCTTTAACCCTTTTCAGTTACTGTGCTCATGTCAGAATATTACATTAAACTTCAATGCAACAAGGGGCAAATCATCTGGCTCAAGGCACTAGTTACTACAATAACAACTAACTGAGTAAAATCTGAACATTTCAAAGAAAATTGAACACTTTCAATTTCATTTAAAATATGAGCCCTTTCAAAATACATAAACTAGAAAATTTAATATATATATATATTTTGTCTTTTTGAAGCAGGGTCTCCCTGTAGCCCCAGCTGTCCTGGAACTCACTATGTAGACTAGGCTGGCCTTGAACTCACAGAGATCTGCCTGCCTCTACCTCCTGAGTGCTGGGATTAAAGGCATGTGCCACCACACCCGGCTTAAAAATAAATTTTTTTAAAAAGATGTTGAAAAATTATCAGGTAAATTTCATATTTTTATCAATTTTTAGTACCAATCAATGTGGGGTTTTGGGGGGTGTTTTTTGAGACAGAGTCTCCCTGTAGTCACAGCTGACCTGGAACTTGCTATGTAGACAAGGCTGGCCTTGATCTCACAGAGATCCACCTGCCTTTGCCTCCCAAGTGCTGGGATTAAAAACGTGTGCCACCACACCCAGTCATCAATGTCTTAAAATTACTGATTTTAGTATCCTTCATTCCATATTCATCATTATTGTTCTTTTTTAAAAATTATTTATTTTTACTTTATGTGTATGAGTGTTATGCCTGCACCTGTTAAGTGCACCGTGTCATGCAGTGCCTAAGGAGGACAGAAGACGGTCTTGGAGCCCCTGGAACTGGAATTACAGATGGTTGTTAACCACCATGTGGGTGTTGGGATTTGAACTGCAGCCAGTGCTCTTAACTGCTGAGCTATCTCTCCAGCCCCTTATTATTGTTCTTAAAAAAAGACCTAAACACAATGGTTGGGGAAACTATTCAGTAATTTTCTATTGGGTGTGGTGGGGCATGCCTTTAGTCCCAGCACTTGGGAGGCAGAGACTGGTGGATCGCTCTGAGTTCAAGGCCAGCCTGGTCTACATAGCAAGGTCTAAGCGAGCTGGAGCTAGATAGAGACCTTGTCTCAAAATAAAAAAAGGTCTTCCAGAATGCTAACTTCCATGCCTCAAAAAGCATTTATAACCAGCCACGGAGGTGCACGCCTTTAATCCTAGCACTCAGGAGGCAGGGGCAGGAGGATCTCTGTGATATCAAGGCCAGCCTGGTCTACATAATGAATTCCAGGCCAGCTGGGGTTACAGGGAGACCTTGTGTCAAAAAAAAAAAAAAAAAAAAAAAAAAGGAAAGAAAGCATTTATAATTTGAAAAAATAAAAAAAACAGAAATGATTAATGATCTCTGAATGATTATTATTAGAAGTATCAGGAGATAGGCCGGGCATGGTGGTGCAGGCCTTTGATCCCAGCACTCGGGAGGCAGAGGCAGGCAGATCTCTGTGAGTTCAAGGCCAGCCTGGTCTACTTAATTAGTTCCAGGCCAGCTAAGGCTACAGAAAGACCCTGTCTCAAAAAGACAGGAAAAAAAAAAAGTATCAGGAGATAAAGTTGAACCTGTAATAAAATGTAGAAATCTATTTCTTCATAATCTGTTTCTCCCAAACGCAATCTTCTATATGGTCAAAATATATTTGGTAACTGAGAGTTTATTAAGTAAAAAACTAAATTACAGTACTATTACTTCTAAATGAAGTTTCTTAAAGACACAGTATATTTAACAATTGCTTTACCTATCCGTAAGTTTAATACTTTAGTATGATTTTCAAACTGTGCCAATTTAAATATACTACGAAACACAAATCCAAATTTTAAAAACTTACTCTAAGAGTGTATGTATAATGTATATATACATACAGAACATGTTAGCATATTCCTACTACATATTTAGTTAAAATGAACAAATATATACATGTACTAAACAAGATAAAGTCAGTATCCATTCGAACATAAACAGCACTAAATAGAATATATAAATAGAAACCAGTCCTTTTTCAGCAAAGGCAATGTAATAAAATATCGTCTTGATAGTATTATATCTAGTTTTCAGCCTCACAACTTGAACAGTAAAAGGTTTTAAAATAACACACAAAGAAAGATTACATGACTTAAGACAGGCTAGTTAGTTTAAGGATCATGAACTATCATACAAAATATACATAGGACAATAAAAATTTTTTAAATTACATTGTAATTGGCTGGAATTTTTCTTAGAAAAATAGATCAATGACTAAAGAAATATTTTTCTATAAAACAGTTGGAATAAAGGTACTGTAATAAGAGGTGGTTATGTTTGTTTCCCTTATACTACAAAGAGAAATGCTTAAAAGGACAGACTAGGCAAAGCAATGTGTGAAGGAAGGCATGAATTACAAGACTCTAAAATGAAATGTATCTCAGTTTTTAAATTTTAAATGAAGGAACAATATCTAATTTAAAAAAAAAACTACTCAGTGAAAGAAATATAGCTGGCTTCACAGTAAGAATGAGAACTGTAGGAAATAGAATACTACATGACACAAATGTTCTTGACCAGTGCTAAGCAATTACCTGAAATATTTTTATATTAAGAGTTATACGGCATCAAACTGAACAAAGAAAAGTGGAACATTAGAAATGCCTGAAAAGCTTTTTAACTACATAGTGACTTGACTCTGTATCCCCTTCCAGATCTGGCAAACAGCAAAGGGTAGAGACATGGCATAAGAATATGTATAGATTATATAATATATACCATCATTTAGGGTCACTTGATTGTGTGAGCCTAGAGAGAAGAGAGCCTCCCCACCTTTGTCTTCCCTGGAGAGGAAGGGTCTCTGTATGCTTTTCTGGGGCAGTTCTACTGAATTCATTACAACAGACATGGACATCACTGATAGCTATTATGAAGAAAATTCACCACATAATTAATAAACCTGTCTTGCATTTGAGCTTAGTGATATGCTAATTATGGCTTAGAGCTAATTTTGTCACACTTATGAATTAGCTGAAACATTATTTATATACCAAGTTAAAGGAATCAACAAAGTTCTAACTGTAAAAAGCTGGTGTTTCTTATGTATTTAAGGTCGTGAAGAGAAAACGTTAGTGTTTATGAAAATTTAAAGTATAAACTATTTAAAAAGCAGTTCAGCACCATCTAAAATAGGTAAAAATTAGTTTAAAATTCAATTTTAGAAAAAAAAACCTAGTTCCTTTCATTGTATTTGTAATGACCAGAAGTATTGTCATAAAAGATTATAAAAACATTAAAATACAATTTTATATAATTTTTATTTGTACTTTAGAATTTAAACAACTTGCTGGGACATCCTTTGTGAAGCAATATAGTTGTTTTCTTTTTATTTGAAACTGTTTAAAAGTTAAGACAGGCTCACTAATTTGCTTTCAAGAGCAACCAACATGTTAGCCAAAAATAGCCAACTTAGTAATTATCTGTGATAGAGACTTGATTATGTGAGCCTAGAGAGCCTCCGCACCTCTGTGTCTCCTGGAGAGGAAGGGGTCTCTGTGGGCTTTTCTGTGATGGTTCCACTGAATTCATTACAATAGAGATGGACATTTGAAACTCGTAACGATCCAACATCTGAGCAATCTTCTTTCGAGACACACCATGTTTATTCCTCCTACCAAAAAAGAAAAGGATTTTAAAACTTTCTTTTTTTCTTTCTTTTTTTTAGAAAGTAAAGGCTTAGGAATTCAGCTACTGTATCAACAGAAGAGAATCTAATATTTACAAACAAAATTAGAAGATATACTTTGTTTACTATCATTTTATAAAACAAGATTATATTGGCTATAGCAAAGGGAAATGCTCATTGATGACATCTTCATACATAACTGCTCACTGAAGGTATTAGGTACATAGCAAAAAAGCAAAGTTTTTGTTTTTTTTTTTGTCTTTTTGAGACAGGGTCTCCCTGTAGCCCCAGCTGTCCTGGAACTCACTATGTAGACCAGGCTGAACTTGAACTCAGAGAGATCCGCCTGCCTCTGCCACCCAAGTGCTGGGATTAAAGGCATGCACCACCATGCCCGGCTGCAAAATTTTTTCTTAAGAAAGATTATGAGACGTGTTTTGAGAATTAGAGAAGAAATGGATGGATTCCTGGGAGTTATAAAAAAATTAAAAATATCAATTTTTTAAAAGTCACTTTATGACAGTTCCTAATGCCTAAAGAAAAAAACAATTTTTTATCATCAGTACCTTGTTATTAGAACCACAACATAATGTTGAATAAAAAAATTAGATACAAAGAACACATTATATACGATTTTATTTATATAGGCACATTTAAGTTGGAAAAGGCAAAAATATACCATGGTATTAATACAAAAACTACATGAAAAACTTCCAAGAAAAGTAAGCAAGTAAGAGATGATCAGGTCAAAAAGCAACTGACAGCTTGAAGGGCTAAAAGGCAATTGTAACAGGAGAGGAGTATGAAGAGCTTCTGAAGTGCTAGCAGTGTGATGGCAAGACGATGGCTAAATGCACGTGTCTAAGAACTTTGCTCAGCTTCAGTCTCCCTAGTGCTGGGGATCACAGGCATGCATCACCACGCCCAGCTCTTTGTGTAATAGGCAAATACTAACTTTTATAATCTTAGGTTTACATTCAAAATTTAAAGGGCAAAAAGAGAGAAGACAGAAAGGAAAAAATAGAGATCTAAGGTTAAAAATTGGCAGCCAGGCGTTGTGGCGCACGCTTTTAATCCCAGCACTGGCACTTCATGAGATAAAGGCCAGCCTGGTCTACATAGAGAGTTCCAGGCCAGCTGAGGCTACGGGTAGACCCTGTCTCAAAAAGAATGGATGGATGGATAGATGGATAGATGGATGGATGGATGGATGAAGAGATAAATAAATAAATAAATAAATAAATAAAATTGGCAAGAACATGTTGGGGTATTTATGTAGTACAGCATTAGTTTAGCATGCCTGAGGTCCTGGGTCCAATCCCCAACACCATGAAAAAAATAAAACTTAAAATAATTGGTAAAATAGGACTAAATTCACAAGATGCCAAAATCATGACTTACTTCTACCCAAAATTCAAACTATGCTACATATCAGTGAAATGACTTCGTTAATTTATATTAAGAAATTATTGTCCCAACAGTTTCTGAAATACAAATGAAGCCATAACTACATGACAATTTAATCATTCACTCATTCAGCCACTTATATGGCATAACTCAATTATCTTTAGTTTTTAAATTTCTGTCTCATCCACCTCAAGTGTAATGCATACAGCTTGGTAAGCAAACAATGCCAGACAGGCCACACCTTTTTAAGCCCAGCATTCTAGAGGCAGAGGCAGATGGATCTCTGTGAGATCGACGCCAGCCTGGTCTACATAGTGAGTTCCAGGCCAGCTGAAGCTACAGGGAGACCCCATCTCAAAAACAAAAACAAAACAAACCGAAAAAAAACAAGGCCATATAGTACTATTAATATGACTCTAACACTGTATCGTACATAACTCATAAAGCAAGGGTAGTCAAAAGGAATAATAGTTTGGGGAAACAAATTATTTGGAACCCATACATAAAATAGCTCAAAGGTTAGGAACATGGTTTCTCGGTAGAATGTGGGCTTAGCATGTACAAGGCCTTGGACTCATCACTAGCACCAAAAAAGTAAAAAAGTAAGAGTTTGAAGCAGGAAGAAGGCAAACTTTGATGAGAGAAAAACAAGATAGCTTAAAAAAGGAAGTACTGGAAATATAATTCTATGAATATACTAAAAACTACTGAATTGTAAACTTTAAATTGTAAGGTATGTTAATTATACCCCAATAAAGCTGTTATGAAAAAGAGAACCAAAGTAGAGAAAGAATAGAGAGTGTTAGGAAAAGCATTGATATGAAAGAAAAGGGTAATGGCAAGCACAAACAGAAGGGTAAGGCAGAGAGTACAAGAGTCCATAATCTCCTACAAGTTATGAAATCTAGTTAAGAGGAGAAAATTCAGTTTTCTGCTAAGGATGCAGCTCAGTGGTACAGTACTTGCCTAGCATCCATGAGGCTCTAGGCTTAACTTTCCCAGTATGATGTTGAAAACAATAAAAACAACAACAAAAAAAAATCAGCCCAAGCCACAAAACCTGTTTTCCTGCTAACTCAGATGGCAGAAAAGGTAACCATATCTGAGCTCATTTGGCCTCACAGACTAGATCACATAGAATATTTCTAACTTAGAATGACTAATTATAATTTGCTATAGAAATATTAGAACCTGAGCCGGGCGTGGTGGCGCTCACCTGTAGTCCTAGCACTTGGGAGGCAGAGGCAGGTGGATCTCTGTGAGTTCAAGGCCAGCCTGGTCTACATAGTGAGTTCCAGGATGGCTAGGGCTACAGGGAAAAAAGACAAAAAAAGAAATAATAGAACCCTTGACCATGACATAGTGCCTCAAACTGGTGGAGGTAATAAAGCAAGGCAAATGCCCTAATATCACCATCCTAAAAGATAAAAAAAAACCTTAATTCCAAAACACAATGATTCTAGAACTCTTGGGTAGGCAGGTAGTAGAAAGATGGAAAAGGAAGCGCAAGATACAAAGGTGACAATGGGACCTAAAATGGGGACATGAAGGTAGCAGGACAAGGTGAAAAAGTGACCTCACTAAATACTAAGGAACCTCAAATCTCTTGGACTATACTAGCATTCAGTAAATTGAAATATGGGAATTCAAAGTGAGAGAGAAAAAGTATCAAACACATTTAGCAAAAGATATGTAGTTTCGACATGATAAAGCTCTTAACAAAAAGTACAAAGTAGTAGTCCCTATTTATAAGTAACCAAGAAAATCTAGGAAAGAAACTGCCATGTAAAAGAAAATCAAAGAAAAAAAGAATTCAATAAAAACAAGTGTCTTACTTTTCTAATTCTTCAGGGTCAAACTTCCACCAAGTTTCAGGTTCATGAAACTCTACTCTGTATCCTTTTCCTATGGCCTACACAAAGGGAAGAAGACAAAAACCCAGACAACAGTTCTTAAAGTAAAAAGAAGGCAGACAGATAGAAATTTCATCTGACAATATTAAGATTGCTCAACCAGGAAAAATGCTATTTAGTAAAATAATGTGGTTTAGAAAAATGTTAAGACTACCAAACTGGACAAATTCCAATTATCTTCAAGTCCAAAAAAAAAAATGAACAAGATTAGCATATTTAAATCATCATAAGCACCATTCCCAATTCTTTAAAAAAAAATGAAGTGATCAACAAATCTCTTTAGAAAACAAGGGAAAATATTTTAATAAGGATCAAATTAACCAAAACTTCAGAATATGAAAAAACTGACAAGAATTTTTTAAAAACCCACTCATATCTAATATTTACCATTTCCACATATGGTTTCATTTCCCAGGCTTGTGTATTAGTATTATCTATTATAACTGGAGATCTCCCTTGATCAATAGCTTGTTTTGCTGAAATAAAAAAAGAAATACAAATAGAATTTAAATGTTCAGTATTAAGAAATACAGCACACCTTTGTATTTAAAACAAAAAAAAAGACCAAAAGAAAAAAACAAAACAAAAAAAACAACAAAAACCACTATCTATTCAGTTAGTGCCATGAAAAACAAGGATCCCACTAGATTAAAAGGAATTAAGAGACACACTAAGTATATTCTCTAGACTGGGTATTGGTTTTGACTAAATGGCTGTAAAGGACATTCTGGAAGATTTTGCTAACTTACAGCTAATGAAAACCTTCACTCTATAACTAACTTTCATTTACAGGAAATTAAGGTGATAAAGGAACAAAGTACAAGAAGAAATGAAAATTTACTGACACAGAAAGACAATAACTGAGTGTGTGTGTGTGTGTGTGTGTGTGTGTGTGTTTTTAAAAAAAAACAGTGGGTTTTTCTGTGTTATCTAAAATTTTAAAAATGATGCTTTAGGGCTGGAGAGATAGCTCAGGGGAGAGAAGCACTTTCATGCAAGCCTAGCAAGCTGAGTTCCATCCCCAAAACCCACATAAAAAGTGTAATGGAGAGTGAGCATTTATAATCCCACCATTCCTATAGCAAGATGGGAGGTAGAGAGAGAAGAGGACTGAACCTCACAGATCAGCTAGCCTGAAGGCCTGAAGTACACAGAGATCCTGATGCAGAGCAAGGTGGAAGGTGAGAACCAACCACTGAGAGTTGTCCTCTGACCTATACACACACACACACAGCACATGTGCACCTGCAATCACACAGACACATGCATACACACAAACACATCTACACACTAAATAAATATTACAAAGAATTTCTGGTTGGGTGTGGTGGCACACACCTTAAATCCCAGCACTGGGAGGAAGAAGCAGGTGGATCTCTGTGAGTTCAAGGCCAGCCTGGTCTACAGAGTGAGTTCCAGGCCAGCTGGGGCTACAGGGAGACCCTGTCTCAAAAAAAGACCAAAATAAATAAAATAAAATAAAATAAAATAAAAAGCTTTCTTGGTATTTCTTCTTTAAAAAAAGAATTTCTGAAGTGTTAGTATAAAAGAAGACATTACTGACAAAATTTCATATCAAGTATCTCAAATTCATAGTTCAACTGATGTTGTGGATTTCTTAGAACTATGATTCTCAAATAGAGAACTGAAGAATCAACTTCATAATAAACTCTATCTCCCTATTCCAATGCCATCTCTTCTACCATGAGAACCACTGTCACAGACCTGTGTTGCAGTGTCAAAAGACTGGACTGGACATGCTTGCTTGTGGTTGAATGTGAAATGTCTCTCATGGGCTCATGTGTGTGAATAATAGGTCCCCAGATGATAGCACTGTTTTGGAAGGCTGGGGAGCCCTTAGGAGGTAGAGCTTTGCTGGAGGAAGTGAATCACTGAAGGTGGTCTTTGAGGTCTAATAGCCCAATCCCTACTTTCTGCTCTCTCTGCAACCTGACCCAAAGATACAATGTGATCAGCTACATCATGCTCCCTTCCTTGCCGTATACATCTTCTCAAACTGGAAGCCAAAAATAAACCCTCTTGTCTGGTACTGGGTCACAGCAATAAGAAACGTATCCAATACAAATATCTAGGGCACACAGAATTCTAAGCATTAGTTCAGGAGTATGGAACACATATTTGGGAGAAGATGTTTCAAGATGCCAAAAGAAACTTAGCCATCAGATGATAATGGGTGCTATCATCTTTTATTGCTAGTTTGGTCCCAGCACCAAGATGTTATCACCTCTTACCTCTCCATTTTTAGTCATAAGTAGTAATTACATTTTCCACTAAAAAAAAATCTTACTAAAGGGGATGGAGAAATGACTCAGTAGTTAAGAGCACTTGCTGTTTGTTCTTCCAGAGGACCCAAGCTCGGTTCCCAGCACCCACATGGCTGCTAACAACTGTCTGTAACTCTAGTTTCAGAGCATTGCAGACACATAGTGCGCTTACATATATGCAGGCAAAACACTCATACACATAAAATAAAAATAACATTAAAAAAATTTTATTAAAGTAGTTCTGGTAATTCAGGTGTGGTGGTGAATATCTAGTCCCAGCTAGTGGAGAAAATGAGGTAGGATGATTGCTTTAACTCAATTTAAGACCAGTTAGGAAACATCAACACCCTGTCTGAAAAAAAACATTTAAAGATCTCCTAATGCTTGATTGCTAGATTTACCAATTCTAGAGCTGTGTTCTAGAAGAACTTATTAACCAAATAAATCTAATTTGCAGGAGTGGAAAGATTATATTCCTTTCATGAATAATCACCATGCAACAACATAGTCTATGAAACCTATGAAACTATGTACTATATGAAACCAGAGATCTTAAGTAAATAATTGAGTTCCTAAATCAAAGTAGTTCTCTTAAATTAACTAAGGAAAAAAAGGACACTTTGGAAATGTTTTTATTTATAAGTGTTCTAAAATTATTACCAATTATTTACAGTGCTAGGGAATTGTGCTGGATAGCTTTAGTGTCAACTTGACACACCTGGGTTGAGGGAACCTCAATTGGGGAATTGCCTCTATTGGACTGGCCTGTGGCCATGTCTGAGGGCATCTTCTTGATGAGTGATGTGGGAGGGCCAAGATCACTGTGGGTGGTGCCACCCTCGGGCAGGTGGGCCTGTGTTACATAAGAAAGCAGGCTGAGCAGGGGCCAGGAGAGCAAGCCAGTAAGTGGTGG